GGAAGAGGGACAAAGGGGCTATGGGACCCTTGACATAGAGCCAAACCATGGGAATGACTTTTCAGTATGAAGACTCGGAGTGTAAATGAGAGTGTAATCGTACCAAGGAAATTGTGATGATGTGTGTGCATGCATATGAGGACCCTGGAAAGACTAAGGGACCTACTTCAATAAGGAGGAAAGCAAATTATGAGACCCGATGGATGCGTAGAGGCGAGGAAGAGGACGGCTCCGCCGCACCCCGATGACGCCATATAGCCACAATGCTTAGGGAAATGGTGCGTGGCCTAAGGATGACGCTTAGCCTACGCTCAAGAGAAGAGAAATACTCAAAGAACCCTTGGACTGCATGCATATTGGAAGGAGCAATTGCATGAGAACACAACAAAGAAGCAAAAAAAATAAGCGTTGCGGAACGACCAGCGAGTCTGCCACTCGGCGTGAGGGCTGAGCTACATCCCCAATGTCAAAACTCTCTCGCGCGATGGCCCACCCCCACCCATTTCAAAGCACTAGGTGGGGGTGACCTTGGGACGAATGGCCCGCGCCCTGAGCATGAGTGTGGGCGGGCCGAGCCAATTGGGACCCGCAGTGGGGTCGACTAAGGCTCGAAAGTCTACCGGGGTTTGGCCCTACAACGGGCTCTACGTTCGGCACGAAGTCGTCCTTCTTCTCCTGGTTCCAGGGCCCGAAACACGTGCGGGATCCTTCGTGATCTCGAACGTGTCAGTCCAGTATCGTCACCTAGTCCCACATCGATGTCTGATTCGTTCATCAATTAGGCAGACATTATCTGCACTAGAATCCCCTGGTGGAATCCTACCACAGCATGTGTCTGACCGACACCTAATTTTCTAAAAATAGTTGTGTCCGGCAGGTCCCCTACTGTACCGATCAAGTGGCATGTCTACAACATTCACACAGATTGTCAACATAGTCTATATGTATCCTGATTGGTTCTCTTACAGCAACATTAGACAGAACTGGCTATGGTAGCATACAACAGTCCTAATCTTAATCCTGTCTGTGAGGTGTTAGCAGTCTGTCCACCAACTAATCAAAGATACAAAAAAACCATGTTGCAGATGTATGATGAGTGGGTATGGTTGTGTATACAGTTGAGCACCAATTGGAACCTACCCTCCCCTCAATCCAACATACCGGAAAGCATCAATGAGCAAGCGGTGTCTTCGTGTGTTTGTCGGCCCACCCCTGTGCCCAAGTCGTTACCGAGCAAGCCAGCCCAACCACTCTTATTTACCCTCGTACGGCGACGAGCCTTCCTGTCCATGTGATCTGGCTGATCAGGAGGAATTTATAGAGCGCCCCCATCTCTTCAGGAATTATTTAACGTCACAGTCAGGACGACGATCACAGCCAGATTCACAATGAATTCCTAACCAGAAATCTTTACAGACGGTCTGGTAAGCATCTGTCATGGGCTGGCACACCCGGCAGGACTTCTATTCAGCGCAGCAAGTGCTAAAATGGACAGCAGCCATCGCATGCGTGACCTACTCCCATTGGGTTGGCATGGTGACC